CACAAGATGATTGATAATGGCGATACAGATTTATACCTAATATATATCAGCAATATGATTTTATGGGATATCTTTTTCGTAATAAATAAAAGAAAATCCCCCACAGAATATTGAAGAATAGGTATCAAAGAAAACAATATTCTTTTCTCTGTATTCTCTCCCTCCCTCTTTTTCCCACTCTCTTCTTATCTATGTCTGTCTGTCTGTCTCTCTTTCTGTCTCTCCCTCCCTCCCTCTCTGTCTGTCTGTCTGTCTGTCTGTCTCCGTCTCTCTCTCTCTCTCTCCTCTCTCTCTTCTATCTCTCTATTCCTTTCCTCCCATCCCTCCATCCCCCTCTCGCTCTCTCCTCTTCTCTCTCTCCTCTGCTCATCCTGCTCTCTCCGTTTCTCTCTCTATCTCCTTCCTCCTCGTCTCTCCATCCCTCTCTCTCTCTCTCTCTCTCTCTCTCTCTCTCTCTCTCTCTCTCTCTCTCTCTCTATTCTCTCTCTCCTCTCGGTCTCTCTCTCTGCTCTCTCTCTCTGCTCTCTCTCTCCTCGTCTCTACCTTCTCGTCTCTCTTCTCTTCTCTCTCTCTCTCCTCTGTCTCGATCTCTTCAAGACACGTAAAAAATGGTATTTGTGTATATCAAGCCAATGCAAATAATATATCGCAAAATAAAGCACAACTTTTGTTATAAACTTTCGTTCGAGATATTTGAATAATGCATTACGAATAAAATAAACAGTATGGCCACCCTAAATTCTCCCAAAACACGAACGGTCCGAAAACACACAACACAAAACAAATGACTCTCGATGTATCCGCGGATTCAAAACATTGCGTTTTTGTAGAGCGTTCGCCAAAGGTAGTCGTAAGTAAGTGGCTAACTGTCGATAGTACTAAACAAACTAAAAAAAAACCTCAGGTATTGTGCTGATAAACGACATTTTTTTTATCTTTAGAAGTGAATATAGTATATGATGAAAAATGCTTTATGATTCTTTAACAAACAAATGAACAATAAATATGAAATTATTATGAAGAAAACTAGACTGTCATTAATCTCTATACTTAAAAACATATACCTAACAAGCACATCAATCTATCAAAAAAAGTCAAAGCAAGATCATATCAATAAAAAAGTATCAATACGTATATAAAAAAGACATCAAAGTATCAAGCTCTCTCTCTCTCTCTTTAAAAAGAATGTATCAAACGAAATAAATGATAATATCTACATTTTTTCCTTCCATTCCGCACATTTTCTTTCTTTTTTTTTACTCCCACTTTCAACATATTCATGGGATCAGGAACGACTCATTCATTCATCGTTCCGCAAAGTGAAATCATAAAAACACGCTGAATTCAGCCTTGAACTGTCCGATTTCATGGAGAGGCAGTCTGGCTTTCGGCTCGGAGGAAACTTTCAGATTACCAGCAACCGTGGAAGGGGATAATGCAGGAAGAAGGGGAAGGAAAGAGAGAGAGGAGAGAGAGAGAGAGAGAGAGAGAGAGAGAGAGAGAGAGAGAGAGAAGAGAGAGAGAGAGAGGGAGAGAGAGAGAGAGAGAGAGAGAGAGAGAAGAGAGAGAGAGAGAGAGAGAGAGAGAAGAGAGGAAAAGCGATAATAGGAGGAACAAAGAGAGAGAGAGAGCAGAAAAAAAAAAGAAAGAAGACAGAGATAAAAAAAAGAAGAAAGAGAGAGGAAAAGCCGATAGAAAGAAAGAGAGAAAAAAAGAGGGAAGAAAAAAGAAAGAAAGAAAGAAAAATAAGAGAGAAGAAAAGAAAGAACAAAGAAAAAGAAAAAGAGTCTGAAGAGGAAGAGATAAGCCTAAAATATTTTTTTCCTTCTTTTTCTCAGATATAATAAAATAAGTCATTAAGAAAAGATAGAACCAAGCATTCTTTTTTCATTTAATATTACTTTCCTTTGACAAGAAATTACACAAAACACAGACAAGGAGAGACTGGAGAAGGGAGAGAGAGAGCTTAAGAGAGAGAGAGAGAGAGAGAGAGAGAGAGAGAGAGAGAGAAGAGAGAGAGAAGAGAGAGAGAAGAGAAAGAGAGAGGAAAGAGAGAAGAGAGAGAGAGAGAGAGAGAGAGAGAGAGAGAGAGAGAGAGAGGAGAGAGGAGAGGAGAGAGAGAGACGAGAGAGAGAGAGAGAGAGAGAGAGAGGAAAGAGAGAGAGAGAGAGAGAGAGAGAGAGAGAGAGAGAGACGAGAGAGAGAGAGGAGAGAGAAGAGAGAGGGAGAGAGATAAAGAGAGAGAGAAGAAGAGAGAGAGAGAGAGAAGAGAGAGAAGAGAGAGAGAGAGAAGAGAGAGGAGAGAGGAGAGGAGAGAGAAAGA